CTCTGAACAATGTTTGGGGAATTTTTCCAATGTCCCTAAACACTGTTCTAAAATGTGAATCTAAAAGTCACAATATATGCAGGGACACATTACCTGAAATAAAGATGCATTCAGAGGCACTACTTAAAAATGTCTAATTCACACAAACATACGTGTATTTTCTGTTCGAAATGCAGGTTCTTGCTCACAGAGCTAGCAGAAGATTCTGAATAATATTTGCACCTAAAGTACTTGCGTTTAGACACATACAATACTTCTAATGACTTTATACTGTACATGTACCTGTATATGCATTTACATGAGTTTACACCTATACACATGTAAAATCTACAGATACGTAAAACCCCAGACAGAGCTGTGTTCTAATTTTGTATGTCGCAATTTTCATTAGTAGAAGCCATACTGTATGTGTATGGCCTGTTGAATTCTATAATGCTGCATTTAGATGCGTACAAACCTATATGCTATACGCATCTAAAGCCGGCATTTTAGACACCTGTGTGAATGAGCCAAAGGCAGTGTTTTATTGGAGTACTGATGTTAACGTTACAAACCTTTACTACTTCATGTATTTTGTGATTACAAACCATAAAGGCCCTTAGGTTCCTGGACTTCTTTTTGGCAACGCGCTTTGCTCAATGCGATTTATTGCGCGACAATCGAGGCGGAACTGCACTGCATTTTCAGGTGACATTAAAATGAATGACACCTGAATACATGGTTCCATGATTTCTCAATTTAACAGAGCGCTTTGAAATCACGGCCAGAATCATGGCGATCCTGCCCACGATTCAAAACATCTATTTGTGAATGCAGCCTTACTGTCAGGATTAGAGTTTATACAAATACAAGTATGTAAACTTTTTCAAGAAAGTTATATTTTTGTTTTTTCTTTTACAGAACACTGTTGTAATAATGTTGTGGATCTTCCAGGAGGTACTTGGCAAACTAGCAAATAAACCAGCGAGCGAACTTTAATAAATAGCAGACACATAACTGACAAACCCGTCTTGAGTTAATCTCAAGCTCCAGTACATCTCTTCCTGTCAGCCTATTCATAACTATTGCCATCTTGATTCGACTGGTAGTCCAAGTAAGCCACAAGAGATGGGTCACAGCTCAACTTTTCAGAAGGTATGATTTGTAATACAGAACACCCCAGGTGGTTTTAGGGGTGCCTGGGGTTTTCCAGCAGCTATGAGACAGGTACAATATAAGATGTGCAGCAAAGTATTTTTTTTAAAACCAATGGCTTTCTCTGTGGTGACCTTCTAAATATTGTAAAGATATTAACAAATGCATGAGATGCCCACAGAACCTTAGCAGTCTCCCTAAATTTCCGTGTTATGTTCTTAAAGTGAACCTAGCTTCAGATATATTTTTTTTATAGGTTAAAAGGATTCTAAATGCTCATTTATTTTAATTAAAAAAAAGAACAGGTTTGTATTATTCTGCTCTATGTAATTCTATTATATTAACCACTTGCCCTCCAGAAGATTTAGCCCCCTTCCTGACCAGGCCATTTTTTTACGATACGGCGCTATGTTACTTTAACTGATAATTGCGTGGTCATACAATGGTGCACCCAAATTAAATTTATGGGCTTTTTTGTCCCCACAAATAGAGCTTTCTTTTGGTGCTATTTAATCACCTCTGTGTTTTTTATTTTTTGCGCTATAAACAAAAAGAGACCAAATATTAACCGGTTGCCGACCAGCCACAATACATATACTGATTACCGGAAATCACTGACAGAAAGGACGGCTGCAGTGTTTACACAGCAGCTCTTCCCTGTCAGTTTCCAGTACACTGTTTCGGAGAGCAGAGAGCAGCTTTCAGCTTTCTGGATCAGTGTGTTCCTGTGAAGAACACACCCCTCGCCCCCTAGTGAAACTCTGCCCCCACACACAGTTAACCCTTTGATTGCCTAAAAATGTTAACCCCCTCCTCCACAGTGCCATTAGTACAGTGTCAGTGTTTTTTTTTTTTTTTTGCACTGATCACTGTATTGGTGTCACTGGGGATGTCAGTGACCGCAAGTCAGTTCCCCCCCAGTGTCAGCATGTCCGCCGCAGTCCCGCCATAAGTCGCTGATCGCCGCCATTATTAGTATAAAAAAAAATAAAAATTCTAGTATATATATTGCCATTTGTAAACGCTATAACTTTCACACAAACCAATTAATTTACATGTACAGTATTGGGATAATTTTTAGCAAAGACATGTCACAGAATACATTTTGGCCAAATTTGACAAAATTTGATTTTTAAATTTTTTTACTGGACATGTTTTATAGCAATAAGTCCAAAATATTGTTTTTTTTCTCAAAATTGCCCTTTTTTTTGAGAGCAAAAAATAAAACACAAACAGGCGAACAAATACCACCGAAAGAAAGTTCAATTTGTGGGGAAAAAAGGACGTAAAATTCATTTTGGTGCAATGTTGCATGACCGTGAAATTGTCAGCTAAAGTAACACAGCGACATAACACAAACCGATTCTATAACCGCTTCCTGACCGCCCTATAGCAAAAATACTGCTACTGGCCAGCACGGGTGCGCAAAATCACATATATATATATACGTGATTCGCGCTCCCATAGTTTTCACGCCCCTCCCAGATAGCATCAGATTGCCCGCTAGTACACCAGTAATCACATTTAAGTCCTTAATTGCCAGGAACACGCTCATACACAATAAAACTCCATTGCTAGTATAGTGTCTGAATGGATCAATACTTTGATCAGATCAGCACTATATCAGCATTCACATTAGTATAGAGTCCCCAAAAATGCAGCATTAGCGGGATCAGCCCCCCTTCTCCCCCAGCAAGTGCAGTGTCAGTAGGTCACTGTCACTTGATACATTGCACACAAAACCGCAGTGTTGGCAGAATCAGGCCTGATCTCTGTTAGCACTTGCCGGTAAATTTTGATGATTCTCATATGCAGCAGAGTGCCAGTACTGTGCCACGCTACCTTTTGGTGAACTGGCAAGCACCAGCGGTCTAGTACATCCTGGTCTTTCACATACCCCTTAGATTGTAAGCTCCCAGGATCAGGCCCTCCTAACCCTCTTGTATGGAACTGTATTGTTGCTGTATTGTCTCCCGTTATATTGTAAAGTGCTGAGCAAACTGTTGGAGCTATATAAATCCTGTATTATAATAATACTACCAGCACTGCAGTATCACTTGGTGACGTGGCGAGTCCCACAAGTGTAGTACAAGCTGGTGTGGTGGCGAGCACAAGTATTGTCCCGCAACCACCAAGAATTCGCACACAGGCCCATAGAGCCCTTAGTATCCTTCCGGATGTGCTTGCAAATCCCAATTGACAGCCCACAAATTTTTCAGCACCCATACTTCCCCCATCCACTGCCCAAACCCGGAATTCAGGTGGAAACAGCAAATTTAACTACTCTTCTTGATTTTTTTGGAGCTGTTTTTCATGGAAGATCTGTATGCATTGATTGTGGATCAAAGCAATTTATATGCACAACAATTTATCGCCGCAAACCCAAAATTGTTTCCGAATTCATATTTTTTTGGGGCCTAACCCTCAACATGGGCATTACTAAAAAAAATGAGGTTGTATTGGTCCACAGACCCGATTCATCATATACCCATGTTCTCTGCTGCCATGGCCATATATATGAGAGTATAATGTGTTTTATGCATTTCAACAACAATATACTCTGTCGTCCTCGGGGTGACCCTGAATGTGACTGGCTCCACAAAATTCAGTCCCTCGCAAATCACCTTAACCAAAAATTTGCAATGTCTATACTCCCCAGCAAAAAATCTACATTGATGAGTCCCTCATTAAATTTTTCTGGCTGCCTTGCATTCAAACAATTTCTCCCCAGCAAGCGTGCCAGATATGGGGTCAAGATGTAGAAGACCTGTGAGAGGACAACAGGCTATATGTATACGTTTCGGATTTACGGGGGAAAAGATAAAAGAAATAATAAGAAAAGTCACGTGGAGCCACCCGGATGCCCAGACTACATGGGGAGCAGTGGCAAGATAGTTTGGGACTTGGTGTCATCCTTTTTCCATATGGGGTACCACTTATATGTGGACAATGTTTATTCAAGCGTGCCACTATTTAGACATTTGTACAATCTTGGAATTGGTGCATGTGGCAAAGTGTGACCTAATATGTGCCCACCATTAGAAGTGGGTGGATGCAGTGCGGTATATTCTAATGGTGGGCATATACCACGCACTTTTTCTGGCAGAGATTTCTTCTCTTTTTTCCATTCAGCCCACAGGCTGCATACAAAAAAAAAAAAAAAAAAAAGAACACATAGCATATATACCCAACAAGGATCAGCGGCGTACTGGTACATCACTGAACTTTGAATGGTTATACCAGGATGATGCCTACAGCTGCAGGCATCGTCCTGGTATTTTTTTCAAACGCACAGGTGATCAAATACCACCAAAAGAAAGCTCTATTTGTTTGAAAAAAAGAAATAAATTTAATTTATGTACCATATTACATGACCACGTAATTGTCCATTAAACTAGTGCAGCGCTGTATAGCAAAAAAAATGGCGTAAATTGCAGTATCTATACCATAGTTTGTAGACGCTATAACGTTCACAGAAAGCAATCAATATACACTTATTAGGATTTTTTTTACCAAAAACACGTAGCAGAATACATTTTGGCCTAAATTTATAACTAACTTTGAGTTTACTGTATATTTTTTACAGCCGAAAGTAAAAAATATTGTTTTTCTTCAAAATATTTGGTCTTTTTTTGTTTATAGCGTGAAAAATAAAAAGCACACAGGTGAACAAATACCACCGAAAGAAAGCTCTATTTGTGTGAAAAAAAGAACGTAAATTTCATTTGGGTACAGCAATCCATGATCTCGCAATTATCAGTTGAATTAGTGCAGAACCAAGGAGCAAAAAAAAAAACCTGATCATTAACCGCCTCCCGCCCGCCATATAGTGTAATGACGGGCGCAAGGCGGTTCTCTCGTTCTGGGAGGACATCATATGACGTCATCGTTTAATACCGCTTTAACTAATCAGGGGCCAGTCCCCACTACATGTGCGTTAACTCTCAGAATCAGTATGGCCCCAGAAGTGCCACCTGTCAATGTCCATCAATGCCACCTGTCAGTGCCCATCAATGCCACCTGCCAATGCCCATCAGTGCCACATCAATGCCACATATCAGTGCCTACCAGTGCACATCAATGCAACATATCAGTGCCCATCTGAGCTGCCTTTCAGTGTCACCTATCAATGCCAGTCAGTGCCACCTATCAGTGCTGCCAATCAGTGCCACCTATCAGTGCCAGTCAGTGCCTACTATCAATGCCCATCAGTGCCGCTTAACAGTGCGAGTCGGTGCCACCTATCAGTGTCGCCTGTCAGTGCCATATATGAGTATTGCTTCTCAGTGCCCATCAGTGATGCCTGTCAATGCCCATCAGTGCCACCTACTAGTGCCTCCTCATCAGTGCCCATCAATGACACCTATCGGTGCCCATCAATGCAGCCTATCAGTGCCCATCACTGCAGCCTCATTGCGCACATCAGTGAAGGATAAAAATCACTTATTTACAAAATTTTATAACAAGAACTAAGAAATAAACGTTTTTTTTTTCAAAATGTTCAGTTGTTTTTGGTTTAACAAAAAATAATAAACTCAGAGGTGATTAAATACCACCAAAAGAAAGCTCTATCGGTCTCAAAAAAATGATAACAATTTCATATGGGTACAGTGTTGCATGACCACGTAATTGTCATTTAATGTGTGACAGTGCTGAAAGCTGAAAACTGGCCTGGGCAGGAAGGGGGTATAAGTGCCCTGTAGGCTAGTGGTTAAGGGGGGTAAATCCTCTGGAGGGCAAGTGGTTAAAAAAAAAAAACTATATTTTTGACTTTTTGCTATAAAACATATCCCATAAAAATTTAAAAAATACAAATTTCTTCATAAATTTAGGCCAAAATGTATTCTGCTACATGTCTTTGCTAAAAACAAATCCCAACAAGTGTGTATTAATTGGTTTACGTGAAAGTTATAGCATCTACAAATGAAGTTCCCATATATTGTGATCTGGTCCTTTATAACATGATCCCATCATCTTCTATATTGTGCTCACATAAAGCAAAAAGTATTCCATAGTGAAGTATGTACTCATTAAAATATAAAATAATAAAAATGCACTTACAAATGAAGTAAAAGTACAGGCATATCATGCAGACAGCAGGGCTGCAACTCCTGCGTCACTTCCGATTTCGATATCACCAGCTCCGCCTAGATGCACGTCTTTCCTCATAGCCCTTCATACCCAGACCTGAATCCTCCCAGCCCGTCTCTTCACCCCTTGTGGAGACGGATCACCAGGTGAAATAAAGCCTAAGAAAGGAAACGAATGCAGTCACCACATCTAAGGATTGGTAAACTGCAATATATTACATTTTATTTCCGTGTTTAATACCGCTTTAACTAATCAGGGGCCAGTCCCCACTACATGTGCGTTAACTCTCAGAATCCAGTCCCTAGCACATGCAAATGGAACACTTTATAGTTCTTTTACTACGTGTTTAGTATGTTTTAATACTTTAATGTCCATTGTCTGGGCACTGATGCATTTTAACCCTCAGTATCCAGTCCCATTTCATGTGCCTAACCACTTAGCACCCAGTCAATACTCATGTGCCTAACCCCTCAGCACCCAGTCTCCAATCATGTGCCGAACCCCTCAGAACCCAGTCCACACTCATGTGAGTAACTCCTCAGAACCTAGTCCACACTCATGTGTGCCTAACCATTCAGCACCCAGTCCCCACTGATGTGCCTAACCCCTCAGCACCAAGTCCCCACTCATGTGCCTAACCCCTCAGCACCCAGTCCCCACTCATGTGCCTAACCCCTCAGCACCCAGTCCACACTCATGTGCCTAACCCCTCAGCACCCAGTCCACACTCATGTACCTAACCCCTCAGCACCCAGTCCACAATCATGTGCCTAACCCCCCAGCACCCAGTCCCTACTCATTAGCTTAACCTCTAAGCACCCAGTCTCTACTCATGTGCCAAACCCCTCAGCAACCAGTCCCCAACTTCTGTGCCTTAACTCCTTAGGGGCCAGTTCCCTCTATATATGCCTTAACCCTCAGCGTCCAGTCCATAGCACATGAACTCTGCAGCATTTGCTCCACAGCATATTCATGTACAGTGGACCTGAATCCCATTTCCTCTTCTGGCTGCTTTTGCTATTAAAAAAAATCTCAATAAAAGTAGTATTTATTGGATAATACATATATAACCAAATTAAAAATGAACTGAACAATCTACAAAATTCACCCACTCCAAAAATCTTCCTCACTCATGAATGAACAATTATTTGCTGGTTTCCCAGGCTTACCAATGAAACATTTATACTGTATTTGTCCCTTTTCTAGCTTTATTTAGGGTCCATTCATATCAGTAGTGGCAGAATACTCTGGGCAGTTATTCCATCGCAAACCCACTGCATAAGAAGGCAAAATGCCTTGTCTCCTGTGTGCCCGGTTCACACCACTGTGCTGTGATGGGTATGATGCACTGAAAAAAATTACTGCATGCACTACGTTTTACAGCGCACCATGCCAAAGAGCAAATCACGCACCATGTGGAAGCTAATTGAACGTAATGGAACCTTAAGCTGGCTACACATTATACAATTTTTTTTGCACAATTTCCCTTAGATTACCATATAGTATGAGGTCAGACCTAAACACTTTCAAATTGCATGTAATCAGGCAGGCCCTTGCACTACATAGTTGAAGGTAAATTTAAAGGAAATTGAACAAGAAAATTGTGTAATGTGTAGCCAGCCTTACTCTTTAACGACATGACTCTTTGAGCTAAGAGTCAAAACTAAGAGACCTTTTTAGGTTTGGCTATTAAAGTCAAACTACAGTAGGAGTCTAGATGTGCAGCAAGTTTGCTGCGCATCTGAAAAGCAATGTTTTCAGAGGTGTTTGACAGGTGGTGAGGAGGTGATATGGTGCCTCCTCCCCACCTGGTTTAAACCTGTAAAAGCCACACCACCACACCACAACCACATGTGCTTGAATGGGTCATGTTCAGTACGATAATGGCTTATGAACACGACAGGGGGATCATTCTTCCCATGGCTGCAAAGCGCCAAAGTTGTGGCATGTGAACATCCCACACGCCTTTGCAGGTTAAGGGGAGGCAGTAAAAACACAGCTAACCCATTTGTTTTTACCGCTCCAACCAGCGAATCTAAACAAGTCTTTACTGCACTGACAATTGCCTGAATGCTGAAAAGTGATGGGCCCCTGCTCCAGAGTGCGCATAGCAGTATTAAATAGCAGAGCCCTATAAAAAAAGAAGAGGAATGCAAATAAGTACTGTATGTCTAAAAACCATAAGGCGGCAATAAATGCAAGCAAAGTTGAGGAGTTCTGAATAACTTGAAATGCTTTAAGTTTTTCCATTCCCCAACTATAGTTTTAAAGCTTAACTACTCCTGATTTCCAGTATTTAGCTTATTAGTATAGTACAGATACATTTTAATCTATCTTTAACCTCAAGCTACGGCATGTTCTCACATGAGTCTACATGCAATACAACTCTACATACACACAGCATGTTCATGATTCCTAAAAATAGTGGCAGATGTAATTCTACATTACATCAACCTGGTTGAAAGCTCTGCAAGGACACTGTTACATACGGTTTAATGAATTATGGTAACGGTTTAGAGGCAGTACACAAAATATGCTGCAATTTATCTCCTTGCTGTTTACACCGCAACCTCTGTTTAAATTATTCACAGCTAGGTGGCAGCAGATACATGTGACAAAGGCACTCTCACATTTCATACAAGGAGATTATCATCTACCAAGACATTTAACCTCTTCTTGACAATCACCTTATTGCCAGCACACTAAAATCAATGATGTTGTTCACATACACCTCTCACCTTTTCAATCCTGAAATACCTGTGCAAACATTTACTGCCTTTAAAGTCAATGAAGAGGCTGACCAATATGAATAATTGTATCAAACTGGGTGTCATTTTTCATACACACTGTCATATTAAACCTTTAGCACATTAACGCTGCTGGCTCCTGCTCTCTCAGTGCTGCGTCCCTGAACTTCCGTACTGCACAGGAAACAGTGGACAGTGTAGTCTGTTAGCTTGCAGAAGGGAAGGGGAAGGAGGAGGGAGGAGCAAGGGAGTGCCTTTCCATCTTAGGCTATTTATATTGATGCACACAGTGTAGCAAGACACAACTCTAGTCCTTGCATGCAAGGGTAGGTCCATAAGAAAAAGAGCCACTCTGAAACAGAAAAAAAAACCAGGGCAGTGACAACAGCTTAACCACTTAAGGACCAGGCCTTTTCTGACACTTTTTTTATGCTAGAAATCTTAGAACCCCCAAATATATATATATATATATATATATATATATATATGTATTTAGCAGAGGCCCTAGCGAATAAAATGGTGGTCGCTGCAGCTTTTTATGTCACACAGTATTTGCACAGCGGTTTTTCAAACACAATTGTTTTTAAATTCCCTCTAATGAATTAAAAAGAAACAATATATATAACCCAATTTTTTTTAATAAAATATGAAAGATGATGTTATGCAGAGTAAATAGATGCCTGTCACGCATTAAAATTGCACACGCTCATGGAATGGGGCCAAAGCAAAGCACTTAGAAATCTCCATAGGAGACCATTCAAAATGTTTACAGGTTACCAGTTTAGAATTTCAGAGGAGGTCTTGTGGCCTGCATATACAAAGAGATAATGTATATGTGGCCTTTTTTGGGAAAGATCAGTAGTAGCAGCTTAGCAAGTCTGCGAGGAATATTGTCCAGAATCTGGCTGTATGTTTATGTGTCCCTAGCTTGAGCAGTGGAGTACCCCTGTAATAGGAGGTATGCTGTGCCCCACCACTAACAGTCTATATACCGTATTCTACCAGCCTAATTGATCTGTACTTGAACAACATGCCATAGAAAATAATTAAGAATTGTACAGATTTAATTTAGGCTTAAAGCATTTGTAAAGGTTCAGCATTTTTTTTTTTAAATAACAAACACGTCATAATTACCTGCTCAGTGCAATGGATTTGCACAGAGCAGCCCTGATCCTCCTCTTCTCCCCCACAGGCACTCCTGGCCCCTCTGACCTGCTGGGTGCCCCCATTGCAAGCTGCTTGCTCTATGGCACTCGTGCATGCTTGCTCCTGAGAAACCTCTGTGTGTCTATGAGAGACACGGAGCATAGTTTGGCCCTGCCTCCCACTCCCTCCTCACTGGCTGTGATTGCCAGCAATAGAAGCCAATTGCTCATGCTGCTGTCTCAGCCAATCAGGAGGCAGAGACCCGGGAAAGCTTCCTCTCTCATGCACATCGCTGGATCAGGATCGGGCTCAGGCAAGTATAAGGGGGATCTGGAAAG